CATTTGGGGCGGGTCCGCCCCGCCCCGTCTTGCAAATGGGGTGGGTCCGCCCCGCCCTGCCTATACAATGGGGCGGGTCCAGGTATTAGTATTGACTCGTGCCGCCCCGACCCGCCCCGCCCCGCCCCAACCCGCTCAATATATAACTATACATATTTTTTCTTAAATTATACTACAAATATACTTCAACATACATATGTGTGTAACTGTGTACACAATAAATCACAAGTTTTTTATCTTATAATATATTAATATATATTTATATATATATTAGAATGAGATGAACGACAGATTATCAATGTCTTCTTTATATATAGCATTTTAATACATATATTCAATTATTAATATAATTAAATAGATTAACTATTCAAGTATGACTAATTTTTCCTTAAAGTTTGAAAATTTTAGTGTATCATGAATTTGATTTAATATATTAATTTTTAATTATTATTTAGAGATAAACTTTATGTAGATTCAATGGGTAACAACTTCCCACAAATAAAAATACATACTAGCAAATTAGGTTACGATTAGAGATGGCAATTGTGACCGATCCGATGGATATCCGCACCGAACCGCCCCGGTCAAAATGGGGAAAACCGCATTGACCGGGTAATGGGTACGGGGCGGGGAATACCCGTTTTGTTTTTACGGGTAACGGGGCGGTTACGGTTTTATGCATGCCCACCCCATTACCCGCCCCGTACCCGCCCCGTTTATTTTTAGTTATATTTTTTTTATTACATTCTTATCATTATTTGTCCCATAACTAATAAAAGATAAGATTTTCAATGTTCATTGTGTACGTATGGATAATAGATGCACTAACTATAGTGTAAGAATGAAAATTCTCAATAGAACTTAATGGCCATGTTTGATTATTACTTCGTATATAATTTTTTGTGATTAATTACTTTTCAGATTAAGTATTTTTAGGTTCAAATTAATTTAGGTTGTCTTCTTTCTCGTCTTATAGATATATGATGCTTTAAAGTGGCGTCTGAGTCTAGCGTCGTCTAGGTGATGCCATTTTTCGCCTTTTAAAATATTATTTTTTACTAAAATATCAATGACTCGTTTAATAAAGTGATTACCCGTTGGGGCGGTTATGGTTTGGGTAAAAATTACCCGTTGGGTAATGGGGCGGTTATGGGGCGGGGGAATTACCAAACGGGACGGGTACAGTTATATGTAAAACTGTCTCCGATCTGCCCCGTTGCCATCCCTAGTTACGATGGGGTGGGGCGGGTCATGGGTCAACAAATTTGGACCTGTGCAGGTCACGGGGCGGGGAGGACCCACCCCGCCAAGTCACGGGGCGGGTCCGGGTCTTGCAGTACCCGCCCCGACCCATTGCCATGCCTAGTCCGGCCGTCGCCAATTGGGGCGGTTCCCGGTTGAATTTTATGATGATGTTTTTTTAGAATCTTCTTAATTAAGTCTAGTTTACCTATACTAAATATCAGGAAAAAAACCAACCGGGAAGGCAGTCAAATGATTTTCTTCCGAAATGTACAGCGCTTTTAACTGCACAGTTATCTTCAAAAATTCATTTGACTGTCTTCCCGATTGAATTTTTAGTTGACATTTGGTATGAGTAAACCAGATTTAATGTCTTAATGAAGAAGATACTCAAAAATATTCATCAAAGAATTCCACTGAGAACTGCCCCAATTGCCGATGGCCGGACAGAGCCTCCTATATATGGGGTGAATTGCACTTTTGAAGTTTGTTCGAAAGCCTATTTGGCCATTTAGCCAATCTCTTATTATGACATTCAAAAGCTTCGGTGCATCAAAGCTACGAACTAATGAAGTTATGTGGGTCGTTAGAGCATCTTCAAATGTTTATTTTCTCAATTTTTTACATATGAGAAAATTCTTAATTTATGCAGCATGGGAGAGACCTATAAAAATAAATTCTTGATGTTTATTTTCTCAATTTTTTTTGCATAGTTTTATATAATTTTGGTAATAATGTCAATCATAATATCTACATCTATCTAGACATTGTTCTTGATATTGTGAAGAAAAATTTACCAAAAACATATAAGACCATTCAAATAAGAAGAAAGATATTTTGCTTACTAATATTTGTGTGTGTATTTCTCTTATGTCAGATGTGCACTATACATATTATGGCATGGGAGCTGCTCTAAATTGAATTAAATATTTACATGGGTTAAATTTTGTTAACGTAATTGGGATTGTCCCAATTGGAGTTGTATAAAACATAAGACCATAGGTAGACCATAGATAGTACTATCGTATAAAATATTGGGCTATTTTCCCCTCATTTGGTACTAAACTTTGTCAACTTTTCTTTTTTGTTTGTCTAATTTTTTTTGGCACTTTCCTCTTAAACTAATGAATTTATGGCTTTTATCATTTCTCTATAATGTGAATAAAGCTCAATCACTTAAGTTTTACTATTCTAGTTTTACACCCAATATGAAGTTGGCAAGGTTGAGTGAGATGAATGTAATATCTATAATTATCGAAGTCCGGTACGGTCTGGTCGAGATCGGAAACTAGTTCAAGTTTAAATATCCTTAAAATGAAACCTCTAGTTTAACATTATATTATAGTGAAATCCGATTGTAGTATAATTGTTGTTTAACACTCATACCCATGATTACTTATAACTGGTGAGGAGTCTCTTTGAGCCATTTATATACACTAATGTTGTGCAGCCCGGTTTGAATTGAAAGGGCGTGCTGAATAATTTCCCGCACCCATATGTACACCCCTTAACTCCTCCTATAAAGCCCTTATATATGGAATTGAAGTCTTGAGAAAACTACAAAAAACATTAAGCATCAGAGGAGCTGAGGATAAAGCTAATACTTTGACAGGGACACATCTGCTCCAGGTGTTGTTATGGTTATTTATTTATTTATTTATTTATTTATTTATTTATTTATTTATTTATTTATTTATTTATTTATTTATTTATTTATTTATTTATTTATTTATTTATTTATTTATTTATTTATTTATTTATTTATTTATTTATTTATTTATTTATTTATTTATTTATTTATTTATTTATTTATTTATTTATTTATTTATTTATTTATTTATTTATTTATTTAATTATTTATTTATTTATTTATTTATTTATTTATTTATTTATTTATTTATTTATTTATTCATCATCATCATCATCATCATCACTACTACTACTACAACACCAACAACAACGATGCTTAAGATAAAGTTCTACGATGGAATAAATATGAGCTTTTGTGATGGTTAAAATACCTGGTAATGGTTTCTATATATATTAACAGCAGAAGCATGAGCTAGAATGAGGTTGTGGCCTACAATAAATGGTTCTTTGCCACTATTTCCTTGAGTACAATTCGCGTGTGATTTTGAGCATCGATTGGGAGGCCAAAACCCGTAGAGATAAGCCATAGTTGCGAATATGTTTGGTTCATTGAATGTAATCCAATACCTAACACGATCACCAAGATTCTTGAAACAGACCTCTGCAAGATGTACATATTCATCCCTGAAATTGAAAAAATATTTTTTGTTTTGTTTAAAACTCATTCAAAAAATCTCAAGAAATCTGAAGATAGTCTTGAGAAAGCATGTCTTGTGTTGTTGATAAATAATAAGACGCTACTAAGTTTCTTTTAAAAACACAAAATATTGAAGGAAATTCTTAGCAAATGAAAAGTGGTTCTCGACAATTCAAGAAAGAAAGAAAAATAGAGGAAAATGAGGGTAATGATGAAGTCACGCTGTTGATTATGGCATGGCATTGATAATTGGATTATTGATGAGGCGGGTACATATGACACAATTGCTTTATGATACTCAAAATTCGATTGAAGTTCAATGAAATTTGAACTCGAACATGGCTCGAGCAAAACATCTTTTAGCTTCTTACTAGGCCTGGGACCGGTTCGGTTCCTAGGCCAAATATGTGGAACCGTTTGAAATTATGAAATTTTACTAACGGTTCGGTTCTTATAAATTATTTTATAGAACCGATAAGGAACCGAACCGTTCTTAACGGTTCGGTTCTTGTCATTTAACGGTTCCTAGTATTCGAAAAAATTCTTACAAATCATGACTAAATTTTTGCCAAAAAGACATTCTACGTTTGAAATTACGATACAAATATGCTTAAACAGTTAAAGAGAATAATAATTTTAAATACTTGGACCCTCAAAGTTCCGACCCACTGGAGTTTGGACCTAATGAGAGGCCTAAGAAGCCTAAGAGAACCGGTTGAAGTGAATAATAGTTTTAAATAGTTGAATAACTAAACAAAAATAAGGGAAAAGGTGCAAATAGGCCCATGTACTAACCAAAAAAGGTCAAATAAGCCCTTATTTTGGAGGCTCTGTCCGGACTTCGTCATTTCGGGTGGTTCCCGGTGGAATTTTTTGATGAAATTTTTTGAGCATCTTATTTATCAAGTCTAGTTTACTCATACCAAATTTCAGCTAAAACTTCAATCGAGAAGACATTCAAATGAATTCTTGAAGATAATTGGCTAAACCCTAAACCCTAAACCCTAAACCCTAAAATAATGAATGTAATATAAAAATAAGTAAGTAAATATACATTAAAATATATATGCTCATAAGAAATATATATAATTTTAATTATTATATATAACGGTTCCTTAACGGTTCCTAGTACATATTTTTTTCAGGAACCGAGAACCGAACCATTAATAAAAAATTGGAACCGAACCGTTAAAAAATAACTAATAAATGTTGGAACCGAACCGAACCGGGTCATAACGGTTCGGTCCGGTTCGGTTCTCCGGTTCTTGGTTCCAAAGTCCCAGCCCTACTTCTTACTCACGGGCGAATCCAGGAATCTGGAATGCCCTGGACTGAATATCAATTATACTAGACTTAAATATTAGCGGGTGGGCTACATATGAAAAATGAAAAAATTTACATTAAAATTTTTTAAATTTCCCTGAGCTCCACCATAGCCCGTAGATCCTCCCCTGCCTGTGTGAGTCAAAACGTATACTCCTATAAAGGAATGAGTGATTGAGTGTATTAGTAAGTAAGCAGGTAAGTAGGTTGGCACTGCCTTCTGCGGCTCTGCTACACCCACTCGACACCTGTGCGGCAACTCCATGCCGCCAGCGGAGAGACACGACCCTGTGGCCGCCCCGCACAAGCCTACGTATGCAACGGCGGTAAGGGGATCCCATCCCCGGCCAAGCCAACCTGGGATTCTCAGCCAAATCAACAGGAACCTTCAACGGATTCCCGACAATCACTTTCTCTGAAGATAATATACATGGTTTTTCAAAACATTTCCGATTCTCCCTTGTTGGTACTTTTCCCTCTGGACGTCCCCCTCTTCCAGCGATTTGCAAGGCATTCGCAGCGTTAGGGTTCTCCCAATCCTACTCTGTCGGTCTCCTACACTCGAATATCAATTTGATTAATTTTAAATCTAATATCGATTTTCACAGATTTTGGGGAAAATATTCCTGGGACTTTTTTAAATCTTGTTCAATGTTACCCGATAGACACCCTCCTTCTCCAAAGACTAAGACTCTCCCTTTGCACTTGTCTGGGTTGCCCTAGAAGGGCTTCCAATTCACCTTCATGATCTATTGCTACCCTCCTGGAAAACCAATTAGAATAGACACCCCCACGACTAACTTCTCAAGACCCTCTACTGCTAGGATATGCATAGAAATTTATATTTCAAAAGACCCCCCCCCCCCTCCCCCCCCAATTTGGATTGGAAATGGAGCAAATGGTTTCTATCAAACCATTCAGTATGATAAGATACCTAAATTCTGCCATTCTTGCTCCCAGATTGGCCACTCACTCACAGAATGTCCCCGGACAATTCAAACCTTGGCCCCTAAGGCAGTTTTAGTCACTGATGATGCTCCAGTTTATGTTTCTACTACTAAGCCCATTATTGACCATATTGTTAGTGGAGCATGTGATGAAACACTTGTTACCCCCGATACTGATTTTGTTGGTCGAGTTGATAAGATTAACAACTCTGGTTTGGTTGTTACCAATTATGCTTCTGCCTTTGCTGAGGACAATTCTACCTCAGTTGTTTGTGTTGCTACTGATGATGTTTCAAATGATGCTTCCCCTATTACTGATTTACTGCTGATGAAATAATTGGTGCCCCCTTGGTTTGTACCCCCTTGGTAATCTGTATTGAAAATACAGAACTCCCAGGTGCAACTCATGATGCTTTTTCCAGAAATGCTAGTAATATTGATACCTCTGTTGATGCCGAATTAGGCTCTGTTTGCAACCACTTGTGCTTAAAGAAAAGCACTTTTTGAGAAAAAGTTGTTAGTAGTAAAAGTTGGTAGTATTTGGTAAAATAAGTGCTTTTTGTGTAATTGAAAAAGTAAAAAGTAGATTCTACACGAAAACCGAGGAAGTAAAAGTTGATAGTGTTTGGTAAAATAAGTACTTTTTTCTTAAAGAAAAGCCATAATCACTTTTTTTAATTGATTGCAAACAAGCCCTTATTCCCCCTCTGATGCTAATGATACTGTTGCGTTTGCATCCCCGGTTGCCCCTGTTGATGCCCCAATTAGTGCCCCTCTTGATATTGTTGCCTCTGCAACCTCTTATGTTGCTTATGATACTCTGCCCCCTATGTTGGTAATGATATTGCTGTGTTTGCAGCCCCCTATGTTGCTTCTGATACAGATTATGCTAAAGATTTGGCTTCGATGATTGCTGTTACTGATGAAAACCCGAAAAACTCTGGTTCTGATGTTATTGTAGTTCAATTGGGCTTGGGGTACACCATTTGGTACACACACCTACACACTATAAATAGGCCCAAAAATTACATTTTTTTTACCCCCTCCCCCACGTGCGATTTCTTTCCCTCCCCTCCCCTCTATTCCCGCAGCTCCTTCCATCCCTCCCCTGTTCGACGTTTTTAATTTCCCTCAGCAGAACAAACCTTACAAAAATGGAATTTCCTGGCTTTGTGAATGAAACTATCATTGATACTACGGTGGACGATTTTTGGGCTGATTGGGCTGAAGCAAACGGTGGTTGTCGACGTGAGGATGAAGGTGAGCGAGAACCGGCGGCGGCCATGGCTGAACGTGATGGACAACCAGATTCGGCGGCTGAACTTGACGGAGAACCGGCCATGGACGACGTCCCTGAGCTTGGTATGAGTTTGTGGTGTTGGTTTCATTGGCTTTGAACTTAAATATATGTTTGTTCTTCACAGACAATTATTTGTGTTTGTGTAGTGTATATAAATTGTCTGTTAGTAAATATACTTATGTCTGTGCGTAAAGTGTATAAATTCTGTGTTCAAAATAATATAAGTTTCATTATGTCTGTGTACATTGAGTTTAAATGTCTGTGTACATATATACTTTTGTCTGTGAGTAAACATACTTATGTCTGTGCGGAAATATACCACTGCGTAAGTACATTTCTGTTTGTAATGTCTGTGTATCAATATTCCTTTGTTTGTGTGTGTATATGCTTCTGTCTGTGCATTAATATACCTCTGCCTGTGTGCTTAAATATACTTACCTCATTGCATGTTGACATGGACACATTGTTTAATCGTTGAATTACGTGAATGTCGATCAGATGGAGCAATTAAGCAAAATGAGAGTGATGATGGTTCTATACAAGCTCCGGATGTCGGTATGCAATTTGATAGCAAAGAAGCGGTGTATGATTTCTACAAGGCATATGGGAAGCGTTTAGGATTTCCCGTTCGAACTAGGAGTACCACGAAACACAAAAATGGAGTAGATATGGTTGGAGTATTACTAGAGTGCTCTCATGCCGGTAGCAGATCTACTAGGTCAAAAAATCAATTGAAGCCTCAACCTTCAATGCAAATGGGATGTGGAGCAAAAATACGAGCACGCACAAATTATGAGGGACTTTGGGAAATTTCAAAAATCTGTCTTGAGCATAACCATCCCATGAGTCCAACTAAGGCTCGCCTATTCCGGTGCTATCGGACTTTGACTCCCCAAGCAATGAGGCAAGTTGCAATCAACGATGTGGCCGGAATACGACTTCATAAAACTTTCAATGCAGCCGTTGTTGAAGCCGGTGGGTATGACCAACTTCCTTTTATTGAAAAAGATTGTAGGAACTACATTGAAAAGGTAAGACAACTTAGGTTAGGGAGTGGTGATGCCATGGCACTTCAAGAGTTTTTTTCTAAAATGCAAGCTCAAAGCCCCGGATTTTTCTATGTCCTTGACTTAGATGACGAGTCCCGATTGCGTAATGTGTTTTGGGCCGACAGTCGATGTAGATATGCATACAAGGACTTTGGAGATGTGATCACCTTTGACACAACCTACCTCACGAATCGGTATGACATGCCTTTTGCACCATTTGTAGGTGTAAATCACCACGGACAATCAAGTTTGCTAGGTTGCGGATTAATCTCTAATGAAGATACGCAAACATTCGTATGGCTATTCACCGCATGGCTTGAGTGTATGGAAGGCCGTGCTCCGATGGGCATTATTACGGATCAAGACCGTGCAATGCAAAACGCCATCCAAATTGTTTTTCCAAATACAAGACACCGATGGTGCCTATGGCATATTATGAAAAAGGTACCGGAAAAAATGGGAGGCATTACAGAAAAAAAAGAAATCTTGGATGCTATTCATGAATCCATTTATGACTCACAATATATTCCACAATTTGAGCAAAGTTGGAATGACATGATACAAAGGTACCCATTATTTCCTTTTAACTATGACCCATTCCAGAAGGTTTTTGTCTGTGAAATAAATATATGTGTTCTTCACAGGCATACAAAATGTACACCACAGACACAAAACTGTCTGTGAGCAAACATTGTATCTTTACTTCATATATATTTTTAATGTTATTTCAGGTATTCCCTGCAAGATCATGAATGGCTTGTAGTCATGTACAATGAAAGACACCGGTGGGTTCCATGCTTCTTAAAGACATTTTTCTGGGCGGGTATGTCTACCACTCAACGAAGTGAAAGTATCAATGCTTTTTTCGATGACTTTGTGCATTCCAAAACTAGTCTTAAGGAATTCGTTGAGCAATACGGACGTGCATTACGAAAAAAGGTAGAAAAAGAATTTCACGCCGATGCGAGTTCGTTTGCAAAAACAATTCCTTGTGTTTCATCATATGAAATGGAAGAACAAGTCCAAGAAATTTACACCCTAGCTAAGTTCAAGGAGTTTCAAGATGAACTTGTAGGTCTTTTGTATTGTGATCTAATACAAAGCGATGGAGATAGAAAATTTCATGTTAAGGAGGTCCGAAAGATAAATGGGTTTCGAAAAACCATTGACTTTGTTGTTGAATATGACCCGTTAACTACGTTTGGAATATGTAGTTGTCATTTATTTGAATTTAGGGGTATTGCATGTAGACACTTGATTGTGGTCTTACGTCGGCTTGGATTGGATTTCTTACCCGAGATTTACCTATTGCAAAGATGGAGGAAAGATGTTAAAAGAGCTTACACAAAGGTGAAAATAAATTATGATGGGTGGATCACAACGGTGGAACAACAACGATTTAATAAGTTGTGCACGACTTTTGAATCACTTGCAAATATGATTGCGGATGATGAAGAGAAGTACCAAAGTGTTCTTAATTGGTTGGAGACTCAATTATCGACATATACTCCTCCCCAAGCTCCTCGGTCTTCCATATGTGGCAACCTAACATCTATCCCACAACCGAGTAGTCATGTGCAATGTGAGGTTTCAAAAAACATAGGAGATCCTAAGTGTGTAAAGCGCAAGGGTGCTCCGAGGAAAAACCGTCAAAAAGGACCATTGGAGAAGGGGAAAAAGAAATCGGGGGCTAGGAACGACATTGGGATTGCCCCACAAGGTATCGCTGACCATGGCAAGGCACGGGAAGATCGTAATGACATGATGAACTACAGTGGTTTAGATTTAAATCTTACCTTGATGTAAATGTGCATGCCTGATTGTTCACAGACATTTATGTAATACGCCACAAACATACATCTTGGTCTTCACAAACAAAATACGTGTTTGTGTGCAATTTTTTTTGTGTTTCAGAAATGTTTTTTTGTAATGTCTGTTTTTGTATAGTTTTTCAAATAAAAGTAATTACATTACAGAAAGTAGTGAAATGTTAGCAATTTATTTTTAAATTTAATAAATTAGTGGAATATTAAATTACATTAAAGTTATTGAATTTAACATTACGCAATTATCTACTTTTGATTACTTTTATTTATTAACATGTTAGATTAGAAATATTTAAATTCTAAAGTAAGTCATAATTAATGAAAAAAAACGTGATTTATTTTATTCCCCTATCTTATACAAATTTCAACAATTCCTTATTTTTGCCGAAGTCATACCAATTTTCTTCTTCACAAGCAAAATCATCCTCCGTAATATATATAAATATATTGCCACAAAAACCAAACGTAATTGTATGCCACCATTTCTGGTAATCCTTGGGAGTACATTCTAGGACGTTGTACAACATTTATAGTGTAACATTGTAGAACCTCCTACATTTAACAACCAAATCCATGTAGGCCAAAATTGAGCATAATAAAATGTATGTGGCGGGAGCTATGAATGGGCTGCAAATGTACTTCGATGGCAACCTCTTTCTCTTTCTCACTTCTTTCATACTAGCTTCTTCGAGGGCCATCATGTCTACACCGCCGGTTGCAACTTCATCACCAAGGTCCCAATCCAAGTTTGCTAAAGGAGCGTGAGGTGTCAAAGCAAAGTCATCTCCCACCTGTAAAAAACATTAAAAGCCCGGGATCATATATACACACACACAAATAAAAAGATCTGTGGGAATGGGACAGTCCCCATACATGTGTTCTTCATTCGTACCGCCACTCAACTTTGAAATGAAGGAAAACTTATATTATAAAAAAAAGTGAAGTCCAAAAAAATTTATAAAACATACAATCGGTATACATGCATCGTTGAACGTACCTCGGCAACAACATTCATTACAGGATCACTTTGCAGTCCACGTTGTAGTTGACCAACAACAGCATTGGATTTCTCTTCTTCAGCCTAAGCAACAGGATCAGGATCAGTTTGTACTTCTTTTTGCTGCTGCTTTTGCAATTTAATAAAAGCAATACCAAAAATAAGAATGTTCAAAAACTTGCCTCAGTTGCGACATGCACAATACGGTCAGTATACATATTCTGATCTTCAGGAAGAACAGGACAAGAATTCTTCCCTTCAGCCTAACCATTAGGTGTTTGACAGACATTTATTACTTATACACGGACAAGACGAAATGTGCATAGGCATAATACATTGCTACATACAGACACTAAAAAGAGCACACAAACAATTACAGTTTATACGTTTTGGTAAGAGTATCATTCATTTGGAAAGAATAAAACAAAAAACCTTATGATAGAAAACTACATACCGCGGTCCCTGCATTCTCAACACCATGAGTAGACATCCTTTGAACTTCAACAGGTGTTGTACAAACTTCTGTTTCTTCTCCGTGCTGACTTGGGCCATATGGATTCCCCTTACAAACCAACATAAATATATATAAATATATATATATATATATATATATATATATATATATATTTATATAATGAGTATGAAGATTGTTAGTACGGTATGTCTTACAGTATATTTACTAAATATTTACTAAATGTACTATATATTTACTAAATACAATATGTCTTATAATGAGTATGAAGATTGTTAAGTTGGTTAGATCACACTTTTAGCATACATTTGAGCCAATAAATATGTGATGAAAAAAATGTCAGTAAATACACACTTGGTTATATATATATATATATATATATATATATATATATATATATATATATATATATATATATATATATATTTAGACTACATACAAACAAAAATGTACTAAATACAGACAAAGCAAATCATTGCACAGACAAGTGATGTTTAAACCTTTTCCTGTAAAGCCTTGTTGACTGTATCAATAACCTTAACCAGTAAGTTTTTCAGTTCACCAAGCTCCTCGTCCACTTTTTTTTCCAACCTTTGAACACTGATTTTTATCTCATCAATATTTGAACACATTTCTTCAACCTTTTCCTTTGTTTCAAGTTCAATATTGTCATGTTCACCTTCGTCTTCATCATCAGAATTAGGGGGTGTAGGCACCTCCTACGAAAACATGAACATGATTTCATATTATAAATATATATATATTAGTGGACAATTATAATGATAAACTAGGAATGATAAAGTAAGAAGACTTACATCAGCAAAGACTAGTTTCCGTATCTTAGATGACCGGAATTTGCCATGACATGTCCAATTTAGTATTGGGACTTCATCATTCCCAACACGTGTGCCAAAGTGTTCCCCAAATTTTGGAATTCTTTCATATGCCCACACCTAAATACGACGTTTAGTGAAGAAATTTATATTATGGGAAGTATAGAGCATTGTGAAAATATAAAACATATAGAGCAGATGTATGTTTGTGAGCATTTAAAACTCTGTCTGGGAAGTACACAGAGTGTTTGTGACCATTGAAAAATATGTCTGGGACGGATAAAATACAAAATCAAACTTAATAAAATGGCGATCATACCTGTAAGACCAATATGAACCCGTAGATGGAAAACTTGGCATTTTTGTACTCAGGGTTGTTAGTTTTACTGTCAACAAACTTCATTGGATGCCCATCAAGAAGACGTTTGACATGTGTGACAAGCAAATCATATGCATCTCTCGACCAGGGCTCCTTCTTGAACTCTTCAAAGTCATTCACAAGCTGAATAGACTTCCGGCTGATCCTAGTTGTCCTATCTTTTCCCAACAGTACATTCTCAACTACAAAGAGGGATGCAAGCTTCACTGGTAGGTCACCTTTCCTTTTTTTACCTCCCCGTACTTCATCAACCTTGTCCTTCATCATCTGGAAAGTGATATCCAGTGATCCACCAAAGTAGGTCTTCGAAATCTCCCCAGGTTCTTCCTCATCTTCAGCGTCTTCATCATCTTTTTCAGTATCTTCGGCAACGGCAGGCCTGGGGGCTGCCGGAGGTAAGCCTGTGATGCGGCAGAAATCGTTGTATGTGAATTCTTCTATTTTGCCCACTATGTTGAACCAGAGCTCATCTTTGGGTTGTTGCTTGACCATACGTAACAACAACATGTGCACGATTTGGGCACAAAACTGAATATCAGGTATGTCAGCAAAATGACCCCATGGTGTCTTCCGAAACTGTGCCATTTGTTGTTTGGAAAGCATGTCCTTCACGTACTTGGAAACATATTTGACATCCGAGCACATAGAGTACTGCGCAGGGAAATGCTTGCTCAATGGGATCTGGAGTTCAAGTGCCCTATGAGTGTAACAGAACAAACCATAAGCACACAGACATATGTTAAACCACACAGACAAACATTCAGTTATAAACAGACACACAATCAGTCACACAGACATATGTAAAAAAACTTTTGTTTAACTTTATGTTGAAAATAAGTAGACTCAGTGTATTTTAATTATATTTTAATAAGTGAATTGAATTTTAAGAACTATCTTTCAAGGAAGATATTGTCTGAACCTATTTCATTTAAAATTATATTAATGATTGATGATTTATCTATGTTTATTCATTTTACTGCCTGGTGACATGAAGCAGTTATTAGAATAAGTGAATCTAACAAAATCACGAGTGGACATAGTGAAATATATTGACTATTCATTGTGTTTTAATGCTTCAAAATGATGATTGTTCCAAATTTGGTAATTTAATGAACTGTAGTTTCTACTAGTCCTTGTTTAGAAATATTAGTATTACTCAATTAAGTGAAAAAGAGTAAGAAACTTATGGAGGATTAATTGGCACATCAAAATGAAGAACAGAGCAAATTTTACACAAGAGTTATACTTTAGAACTGTTTTATTGTCTTGCATTCAGGCACAATAAAGTCCCCACAGACATATACAGAGCCATACAGACAATCATATAAGTCTTCACGGACAAATGGAGGCACATCCTTTTACATATAAGTTCACACAGACAAATACTTTGACAAATCGATCTTCACAGACAATACATATGTCCTTCAACAGGCATAAAATTCCCCTTACACAGACAATAGTTATTGTTCAAAATCCAAGCAATAGATGGGTTCCAAAACTTCACAAACAGAGATATTTTGCTTCACCCTCCAAATTAATATCATCAAATAGCCTAAAATTGTAAAAAAATTAGAGGATACATACCTTTCGGCCATGGTTGCAAGAGGAGTTCGCACCATTTTCGACTCAGAGGGGGAGGAGGATTCGGACCTTGTATGTGCAGCGATTAAGGTCGCCTTTGACGGGGGCTGGCGTGGAGGAGTCTGGCGTTCGACGGAGGGTTGGCAGGATGCCTTCGACGGGGGTTGCAGGGGACGAGGCTAGTCTTCGGGGTTGCTAGGGACGACAGTTGGCTTCGTCGGGAGGTTGGGCAGTTCGAAGGTTGGGCAGCGACGGCCAGCGACGGGGAAGGTTGGGCAGTTCGAAGACGTTCCAGCAACGCAAGGACGAAGCAAAATTGATCGGAGGAAGAAGGGGGGAGATTGGGCAGTTCGAAGGAATGGAGAAGGGGGGATGCGCGAAAATTGAAAATCGGGAGGAAGTATCGCACGTGTGAAAGGGATGGAAAGGGGGTAATTTTTTTTTTAGGTATTTATAGTGTGTATGTGTGTGTAGAGAAAGTGTGTAACAATAGAAAAATTGATTGTAGTTTGGGATGACCCATCAGTGGCTACTTGTAATAAGGCAGTAACCGCAGGGGATGCTCATCCCCTATTGATGGTTCCCGCTGATATGACTGTTGGTCAGAGTATATTGATGCCCACCTATAATAAAAGTGTGGTTTTGCCCGAAAATGATGATACTCTATCTGATCCACAACATGATAATAATACAATGATTATTCATCTGTGGTTTTGCCCCAAAATTATCCAATGATGATATTCTATCTGAGGAAAAAATTGTTTTTTTACAAACTATTTCAGGTCATCATCAAAATGGAGAGAAATATTTGGAAGGCTTTACGGGAAGAGTCTAATCACTTCTCTTATAAATAGGAGTAATGAGCATTTACACACACCAATGGACTCTCCAAATAGTTAAATGAAGAGTAATAGTGAAAATTAAATATTTATGACATGTTAACTTCATGAGCTAGGGGTGAGGTAAGGGTGGGATAGGCGGTGAAAGTTAGGGGTAGGTATGGGTGGTGGGTAGAGTGTAGGGGATGGAGGGCAGTGGCAAAGGGTGGGACTAGGGTGGAGTGGAGGAAGTATATAAGGGTGGGGTGGGGTAGTTATGGGATAGTGTAGGAATAGTCTGTTAACTTCCATTATGAGATGCGAGGAATATATTTATCAGTATTGAAAAGTTTAACATGTTGCTTAGTAAATTAAAATATGGAAGCCTGGAACTCTGGAAGGCGAGGTGCAAACAACACTTTAAAACATAAAAACATTTATTAAACATACATTATCTAAAACAGTTATTACTTCACTCGTGTTAATAATCTAATGGTGAAATTAACTGTGAAATAAACATATTATTATTCTTAAGTTCATAAAAAAGGATTGAGACTCTAATTTTAGGAAACCGGGATGAAAATATAAAGTTGACCATAATGTGTACATAATTCATATTTTAGTCCTATTGCAATAATTTCTTCTATAAGTAATATGCAATTTAAAATTTTGAAAATAGATTAAGCACAAATTGTCCTATCGCGAAAGGATAGCAACTTACTGCATCTCGGGGCTTAGCCAACCTTGATATTTGTCCTCTAATTCTTGAGGGTGATCAAAATGTGTTATTGTTACAAATGGTTCAATACCTGTTGCGTATATGAAAATGTTAATTCTTCAATAAATAAAATAATAAATAGTTCTCATAAGGATTGCCGTAAATAATAGGGACACAAACCTTTATGTAGGAGAGCATCGATGAGATTTTTGTAATAGATGATTCCTTTCCAATTAATGTTTCCGTGTTTTCCATCTATATTATTAAAATAGTGATTATGACTTATGTTAAACTTCTTTTTACTTTTACATACTATTAAAAAGATAAGGTATTTATAGTTCTAACTTGGTAAAACACGAGACCATGAAATTGAAATCTTATGAGCATTGACCCCAAGAGATTCCATCAACTCTACATCTTCCTGTTCTCAACATGTAAACAATTTATGATTATTTCATACGTATGTGATACACTTCTCATAATTAAACTATGTAAGTTGGTATTTGGTAATGTTAGAGTTTTAAAGATGTATTGTCTTATTTCGTTCATGTTATTCACTTATTCATATTGCTAAGATGGTCTGAAATCACCTACACTTAAAAAATGAGGTAATAAAATGGGAATTCGACTGCCTTTGGTTTTTTCCAATTCAAATAAATAAGTGATTCCTGTCATTGTTGCTTGGATTTTATTGTCATTGTATGAAATCAAATTTCGATGATTTGATTGATTCAATTTTATCCAACCCAAAAGTCACAAAGGTTACTTAGATGTTGTTGATTTATTATAAGTTAATTATATGTCTTACTATCATAAGGGCATCTAGAATGCCAAGGTGAATTGTGGCTCCACCTCAGCAAATGCACTTCTTCAATGAAGATGTCTTCTACAATTGAAAACAAAAATAGATAAAGTGCATACAAGTGATGTGGAAAATAATAAAATGGAAGATGTCTAGCACAAGGTCTATCTGTTGGACCTCCGGTGCCACCTTCTCACAGAAATAAAGAAGTGATAAGCCTATATGCAAGGGCAATCACCCGTATGTTTTTTACTTTTTATTTTGCCTTTTTATTTTGCCTAGAGCCGTCAAAACGGGCCGAAACCTGCGGGTTGGCCCGTTTCAACCCACTTATAAGTGGGTTAGGGCTATCATTTTCAGGCCCGATTGTTTTGCGGGCTCAGTGGGTCAACCCTAACGGGTTGCGGGTTTAGCGGGCCAACCCGTACAGGTTGCGGGCCAACCCGCGGGTTGAGGAAAAATATCATTTATTCTATGTATTTTTAATTCTATTATTTCTATATAGGACAATTATATCTTCTATTATACTCTCTCTTTACTTCTAGTTCTTTCCTCACTTCTAATACTAATGTATTTTGTTCATGATATCCAAATTAGACTAAATAAATGTATTTTTAATGTACTTGTTGCTATACTATTTTATAACATAAGGATTTCTATGCTATTTTATTCATGATATCCAAATCAGACTAAATAAATGAGAAATTAGGTATTTGCCTTATTTCAGCTTAAGTATACCCACGATAATACATTAAAGCTTTTAAGTATTTCATCGTTTAATTTTTTAAGTATACCAGTTACCCACGATGATACATTCAAACATACAACCAAAGGATTTTCAAGCACTAATTTTTTCCTTTTTAATTGTGTTTGGATTTTAATTTAGATATTTAATTGCTATTTCAATTGTGTTTGGATTTTAATTTAGATATTTAATTGTTTTTTGTTTTGACATTTATGGCCCGCGGGCTGGCCCGCATAACCCGTGGATTGGGTGGGTCGGGTTAGGGTCATAAAAATTCTGCCCCGATAGTAAGCGGGTTGGCCCGCCCCGACCCGTGAAACTCATAACCCGCCGCGGGTCGGGGCGGGTCGGGGCGGGTTGGCCCGTTTGACAACTCTAATTTTGCCTTCTTATTTTTGTTTCTTATTACACACTCAAGGTGGGCGTAAATGGAGCCTTTTTCGTGATATTGGACCTATCATTTAATAGACCTTATTTAAACCTTTGCAACTTCACTTGAAATGTACTAAAAGAACTTGACGCTCTCATAAAAAACATAAAAATCAACACCTGATAACGATGGTATTGATCAACAGCGACATCCCCAGTGCTTCCATCTGAAATGCTTCCTGAAACATTTATGGCAAATTACTAAAAGTTCCATTTTATTTTAGAAAACTAGAAGGCAAAATATATGTTTACTAATTGTGTTTTAAATAATTACAAAAATAAAAAATAAAAATACTTGTCACATCAATAGCTTTACAATTTTAAAAGCAGAAAAATATTATTTTGTACGATAGTATATATGTTCTCTAGAAAATTAGGAAACACTTTTTGCACAATTAACAATTTGTACAACAATAAGTGATCCTCATCACCATTGTTAGTCTCCCCAACACCACCTATCTTGTATCCCACTCGTATCTATGCACAGTGGCGGATCCAGAAAAAATTGGTGTTGGGGGCATAATCCTTTAGAACTCTCGCCAATAACGGAACGTAGGACTGATTTAAAATTACTTAAAGTACATTTTTCTGGTTTTTTTATTATTATAATTTCCACTTTAGAATAACATAAGTGTTATTCTTTCTATAAATGTTTCACTATGCGTTCTATGTTGAATTATTTCTACTTGTACTTCTCTCTTTTTAATTATCATTTCAAATTTCATTTTAATCATATCTTAAGCATGATATAACTACAAATTTGACTAAGCAAGAAAATATTACGGAGTAAGAGATTGATTTACATATTTATTGCTATAGTTGAACAAAAAGAAATATAAAATTGAGTAATGAGTGATGTTTTCTTTGTTTTAATGCGATGAGCAATTGTCGTACATTTAACAAATTGCTGGGACTTTAAATTTATTTGATTATAATTAATTAAGATTATTTTATTTCCATTACACTTATTTAATTCCAAGTGATAAACTTAATTATTCATAACCATGTTCTATCTTGGAATAGAAAAAATTATTGGGGGCAAAAGTGTTAAGACCTGGGGTTCCATCCTAAAAGGTCAACCTGATAGGAGAAGTAATCCAAAGTCTTATATAGTGTTTTATTGTTCTAAAGCTTTCCGGTGTGGGATAAATACTTCAACACGCCCCCTCAGCCCGAACCGGGCTGAACAATATCGGGGTGTATAAATGGGCCAAACAGACCCTTAACAAGCTACCCTTAATCATGGGTGCTAAACAAGTTTTCAAACCACAACCGAACTTGGCTCTGATACCATGTTAAGACCTGGGGTTCCATCCTAAAAGGTCAACCTGATAGGAGGAGTAATCCAAAGTCTTATATAGTGTTTTATTGTTCTAAAGCTTTCCGGTGTGGGATAAATACTTCAACAAAAAGTAATACAGAGTAATTTATTGGGGGCAATTACTCTAACTACTAAAAATGTTCAATTTGTTTCTATAGTTTTTTCCTATTAGCAAAGTTTTATTGGGGGCATGTGCCCCCATTAGCTACACAATAGATCCGCCCTGGTCTATGCATCGAACCTGTAGAAGACCTAGGTATCTCGGGGCAATTTTCGTCGCTTCTGTCGTTGAAATTTAGTATTAGTAGTATGTGTACCCGTGCACTGCACGTGAAAATATGTGCGTAAAGTTTTTATTAAAACTGTAGGGAAAATGAATTGTACATGAATTCATCAATTAGTGTTCAAAAGAAAATTCAATCAACTATGCATAGAGCTGTCAAAATTAGTTGAAGTCCATATGGCTAGCCCATTTCATCTCATTTCACGGTGGGTTAGAGTTGTCATTCTTCAATCCTGTGAACTCACCAGTTTCGTGGTGCAACTTGCACGGGTAAAAGGTTAAGTGAGGTAACCCATGTAGGTTGCGAGTCAACCAAAATGTAACCAAATAATTTTCAAATAAGTGTCTTACCGTGAAATTTGTGCACCTCCATTAAAAATGCATATATCTTCATTAAAAATAATGTGCATATTGAGATCATAAGTGCCTCATGATCGTCTAACTGCCTCATGATCTCAAAATGCCTCATGATCATGAGGCAGTTAGACGATCTCAAAATATGACAATATGTTTTTCTATCCTTTTAAAGTCTGAATTATTTTAACTATAAGTGTATTGTGCACCTCCATTAAAAATAATGTGCATTTTGAGATCATGAGCAGTTAGACGATCCAAGCTATGAAATTGGGGAGTGCTAACCCATTTAACAACGTGAACATAAATTGTGAAGTATAAATAAATATGAGGCAAAAAAAAAATGAATATACCTTTAGAGATTGATTTGATAGACCTTGTGAATAATTAAATAGATAAGTAACATCAAATTTGTCCCATTAAGATCGAGACATGTGCAACTATTAAAAAGGGTTTATCTATCTAATGTTGAAATAAAAAGTAGGGACATAATGTAAGAATGATTTAGAACGACATATGCATTATAATATTTAGAACTACACAAACTTAGTGAACGAAACAAAAAGGATGTCGCAGAAAATTAATGAGACGGAAGATGGATCCGAGGATGTAGTAATTATCATATTTTGGGAACAAATAAGAAACAATTTAGAAAAAACGAATAAGGGAGAATCTCCAAGAGTTTATGCGAAAAGAATTAGAAGTAATATTTTTATTTTAAGTGTGGGTAACAATTGTTAAATATTTTTATTTTTGAGTACTTGGATCTTGTAATATCGGCGAGTGCAAAATTTTACCTAATTTTATATTGAACATTATAACAAATATATACACAAATATCAATATAAAAACATATCTATAATATTGGAATACATAAGAGTAGAGTTATGGAAGTTGAATAGTTTTTTCTTTAATTTATTGTTTTGCCACATGTCATTTTTTTATACAAAGGATGTTGCCACATGTCAACAATTCCTCTAAAGAGTTCTTCATGAGTTGGCTTTATTAAAAAAAGGATGACACCCCATCCCTGAGGGCCCCCCAACACCGACCGGACGGCGCGATGGGAGGATGTAAATTGGACTATAATCACAATCTGACAGATAGAGAGTGGGGCTCTGTTCCCGGTACTTGCAGAGGCGCTATGCATTTTTAAGCATAGTAACCCCTCATCGCAGTTGCCGGGATTCGAACCCGAGACCTAACCCTTGTGGCACTCCCTCGCTACCAGTTGAGCTACGCCCACCGGTAAAACTATGGTATGGGTAAACTTTTTATAGTGACTAGCTCAACCGCTTTCACGGCCCCTTACCCCAGAACCCCAACTTTGGCTTGGCCCTACGGGTTAGTATACACCGCTTGGCCCTACCACTTGAAGGGTTTTTGGGGGGAGCATAGTTCCACTGGTGCTAGTGGGACTCGAACACGAGACCTCTCCTATGCAGGGATAACCTCACAACCAGCGAGGCTGGAAGTGGTGGTTAAAACTAAGGTATGGGTGAACTTTTTATAGTGACTAGCTCCACCGCTTTCACGGCCCCTTACCCTAAAAACCCAACTTTAATTTGGCTTGGCCCTACGGGTTAGTATACACGGCTTGGCCCTACCACTTGAAGGGTTTTTTGGGGGAGCATAGTTCCACTGGTGCTAGTGAGACTCGAACACGAGACCTCTCCTATGCAAGGATAACCTCACAACCAGCTACGCTGGAAGTGATGGTTGGGTTGGCTTTATTATATTATATAGATTAGTGCATATGATAAAATTGGTAGCCCATCTATCGTGAAAAATGATAACTATTTTTTTGAAAGGTGAAAAAAGACAACTTTTAGATAAGGTGACAACTCTAGCGACCGTCTCCCCTCTTTGTAGGGGTTGAAATTTTCCGCCGCCCCTGTCAATATGGGGTTGGAGCGACAGATTATATTATACTGATTTTAAGTGTTCTTATGCTTTGGATTGCAACTACGTTGGAGGAGATGACGTTGGTGAATGAATGAGGTGCGGCTGTGAGGTTGTATCGAGACTGGATCGTGAAGCCTTGGTCGGTCATTCCGATGGTGGTGGAGTAGGTATTCACCCATATTGCAATAGTGCGTCCTTCCCCATTATTTTGTCTTTAGTAGCAATTGTTTTTGTTTTAGTCCGAGTAGATTTGGTTTGAATGTTTGGATTTTTAGAGTTCTTTCGATAGGCAGGGTTTCGGTTCGAATCGTTTTAGGACTAAATTTGTCCGTTTCAGGTTTAGCGAGTCATGTTGCTTTGTATGAGGAGGCTGACTCTAAGTTTACTCCTATGGTTCACGATTGGATCTGTAATTTTTGTCTAAAGGTTCTATTGTATGTGTTCTTAGATTTTAATATAACGGCCGCTGTTTTATGTTATAAAAAAAGTGATAACTTCATTAAAGAGAAAATGAAAATTGTTACAAATAGCGAGATTATGAGGATGGACAACTTAGGTGACATTTTCTAGCCAGTAACAAATCAAAGGTTTCCTATGCTACTGCTCTTTATTTACTTCTACCTTATACGATTCTGGTTTTGGTCCGACTTATTCTTGGGCCGAAGTTAATTATGTGTTTATCTAAAATACTTACTATGTTGTGAGTTTATAAATTGTAATATATTTATTTGATATAATTTCACAATATGTGATATTTGTGATTTGTGAATCATGATGTATATGTGCATATGTGATTTGTATTACTTTAATATCATCTCAATAATTTGTAATGATTTTGAAAAATATTTGGATTTGATAGAAGAAATTATGGCTACTCAACGGCCTCTTTTGAAGAAAACTAAAGCCACTTTGCATTGCTTCTTTAAACCTGCTAGTAGAGTACAAAGTGAAGGCACCAGCGAGCGTCATAAAATTTCTAATGTTGAAAATTAATATTCTTCTCTTCCGGTTGAGATTGAAAGAGATTTAGTATTATTGGTAGATTATATTGTCAAAAAAATTCATTTATTAATATATATCTATTCTACAATCAATTTGAAAAATTGACAGAAAAACGTCTTATTACACTTATTCATGAGAAGGACTGATATTCTCCAGCTTAATGATTAAGTTAATTTTTTGACTGAATGATTAAGTCATGTTTTCAATTAAGTCGTAAGTAAAGATGACTTAATGGCTTAATGATGAAGTCATCATTCCCATTAAATCCATTAAGGGTTGGTTTGCAACTCCTTTTAAAAAAGCACTTCTCAGCTTTTGGCTTTAAAAAACACTTATTTTCCCAAACACTACAACTTTTATTTTTCTCGGCTTCCGCGTCAAAAGTGCTTTTACTTTTTCTATTACACAAAAAGCACTTATTTTACCAAACATTACTCACTTTTACTTTTCAAAATCACTTTTTTCTCAAACACTATCAACTTTTATTTAATCACTTCTCTCCATTTCATTAAAAAAAGCATTTTTTTAAAAGCAAAAGCCGTTGCAAACAGACCCTAAGTCGTAAGTAAACGGTCCCAAAGATAACTTAAGCTTACCACAAATTTTGTTACAATATAAGAAAACCTTGTATTATGTTAAAAAGATTGTCGAGTGGAATGTTTTTATTTGTTTTTACTTAAGCAGGTTATCATCATGAATTTGTTAATTTTAATAAATTTAGATGAAATTAACAAATGTAATTTATGATTATATCTAGATCTTTATATAATTAAATTTTTAGCTGATCAAACAAATCTATAAAATACGAGTATGTGTCTAATTTCATTCATATGAGTTACCGATTATTTAAATCTCAAGAGGTTTACCACCTTTCCCAGATCCCATTGAGTTGGATATCATAGACGAATAATTTTGTGGTCATTTTGATGCTTCTCCTGCGAGTGTGAATGAAAGTGTAATAATGTTTTTAAGTGTATTGCTTCTGGAAGAAGTTTTTGAGAAGTTCGGAGAGATCGGCTTGTAATTCTACTTTAGCTTTTAAGAAAGAAACAGAAGCAGAAGTAGAATCAGAATCAATTTCAAACAATCCTTAATTGCATCGTTGTCCATAGTCTCATTTTTCCATTTGATACTTGTTTTACGTCTATCGTTTTATTAAAAAAAATAAAAAAATCATACTTGGTATAAAAATAGCTAAAATATTCTTTGTCAACAATATAACCATTCAATTAGAAAAATAACCTTTTTTTTTTACACAATTAAGCGTGTGAAATCAAAAATTACGTATTTAGTAAAATATAATACGGAGTAGTTAATAAGGGTGATAAATTGAAATTTGAAAATATAGATTGCTAAATGTGCTCTGATATAATACTTTGTTGAAAATCACCTGATTTGTGGGCAAAGGCATCCCAGTTGCTCAAACTTTTACCATCCATCACATAAGCGCCTTCATACTGCAATAATGACTCGTAAAGACTCAAATTTCTATCAATTGACAAAATTTTATCATCAACCAGAAAAGTAAACGTTTGTCATACTTATTCTCACCATTACATAATTCATTATCCACTTTAAAATTTCCCTAAATAAAGTCTCATTTGAAGAGCAATAGAAAGGGCAGGGAAAAATGGAGAAACCTGGAGAGCAGAGGAAGAAGTCCCAAAGAAAAAGTGAGGCGGAAATGGAGAAGAGTGGCTGGCATCCATTAGAACATTGTTACTGATTCGAGATGAGACCATGAGAAGAGGCAGGAGTTGGAGTAGGAGTAGCAGCAGAAGCTCCATTTTTGCTGGAGGTGGAACACTAAACTGATTCCTAGAGTTTATTTCCCAAGCCAGGCCAGGACTATGCAAGCTGGGTTGTACTTAAATATCATATAAATGTCCTACCTCGACTTCGGTAATGTCGCACATTATTATTTGTGTGTTAAATCATTTACTTTACTCTCCGTATTTCCCTCATGTTCTCTGCCATTAAATTTCGGTTTCCAATTTTGACTAACGGGAAAATCAGAATGAAACTAAAGAAAATTGATAGAGTTTAAATTCTTTCAAATTATGGGACACTAGCAGAGAAATGGGCTATTACGATTCTTTGTGTATGACTATCACAAGGCTAAAAAGTGTTGCTGATGCTTTTACTGATACTTATAAAAGCATTTTGCTTGTGTTGCTAGACCTTCTCAACATGTTTTGTTCTACTTATTGTTATTGGTTATCTTTTTATTCAAATCATTTCGGATTCGAAATATTTAATTCAGATCCAATCGAATTATAAAGATTCAAAACAAGTAAAAATGATTCAGATCAAATCACATCAGAAAGATTCAGAGCAAATCATATCATAAATAAAAAAGAATCAAATCAAATTAGAAACATTTAGACTAGATCAAATTAGAAAGCTCCAGGTTAGATGAACAGAAAAACTTTTTAGTCTTTGATATGATCTACAAATTGTTTTCTAACAAATAAGGCTTTAACAAATTTAAATAAATATGATGGAGGGTGTACCCGGGGGGTAGCCTATCCAAGGGGTTATTACGGAATAACCTAGAGAGAAATCAGAGCAGACAAGTAGGAGAGAGAGGAGATTATTATTTATGAACTCGAGATGTTCTGGTCCCCTTTACAACGGGGAAAGGGGATGCTATTTATAGTAGTAATAAATGCGATAAGAGTACACGTGGCGATAATCCAACGGCCGAGGGGTCACCTCAATCGGGTGGCACTGGCAATCGCATGTGCACCGCATTGAATGCGGTGGGTGGATGTGACGTCGCAATAAATGCGGTGGTTGCTTGTCTCCAAAGGGAATCTTCGATGATTGAGTTGTTGGGCGAAGGCTTCCCCTTCGACCGAGGGCTTTGTATAGCCGAAGGCATGGGAGTGCCGTAGGCTTTCCTGACGAAGGCTTTGCGTAGCCGAAGGCACCATGTGTGTGCCGAAGGCTCCTGGTAGCCGAGGGCTACTGTTTTATGCCGTTTTCTCCCAGTAGCTTCGTACACTCGAATCTGGCTCCCTGTGTATTTTGGAGCCTTCGGCCAAGGAGGCCGAAGGCACCCCAGTGTGTATTTTGGGCTTCTTTGAGACTTGGGTCGCTGTATTTGGGCCTCGAATGCTCCTTGGGCTCGGTGGGCCGGTGTGGGAGAAGTAGGAGTCTATGGGCCGGGGGTCCCTGGGCCATATACTCCATCAAAATATATTCCATAATATAATGTTAATTAGAAAAGTGGAACTGAGAGCGTTAGACATACTCTCAATTTATTACGAAACATGTACTCAATATTATTTTCCTCATAAAGAACAAAAAAGCAACTTAATGGTTACATACTTACATACAAGCTAGTCTACTTGAACACACACATCACTCACTTGTCTTCATCATTTTGCTTCCAATTCTTCGGTGTTTCTCAATAAAATTTTTGTACCAATTTGCTGATAATTTCGGAGTTCTCTTGAGAGTGACACGATCAACTTGATATAGCCCCATAAATTTTGAAAATCCGAAAGCCCATTCAAAGTTATCCATCAATGACCAAAGAAAATACCCCCTCACATCTGCACCTTTCCTGATCATATACAAGAAAAACCAAAGAGTTGCTAACTCACTCAATTCAATACTTTACAACCCCTTTTTCATATAACAAACAAGACCTGTTGGATTTGATTGAGCAGAAATCGATAAACATCACGTGACCTTAGGTGAACCTATATATACATGAGGGATGCTACTTGTACGCATAATTTGTACACGTTTGTTGTACACACTGCCTAATTGTCTGTGTATGCATGAGCTTCTAAAAAAAATATTAGGTTAGGTTAATTCAATTGTATCCAAGAAAAATTAATCTAGGTGAATATGTTAAATTTAATTATAAAGAGACTTAACTTCCGAAAAACTTTGATTTGGATGTTTTCGAAAACTAGATTATTTAATAATCACAAACATTTTGTACCTGATGACAGCTCCTATGGCATCAAGATAACCTTCCGTATAGTTGATCCGTTTTGTATCATTCATCATTTCTTCAATACTAGGGTTTGAAGTTGTGTCACAATACCCTGTTAGATGTTGCACGATCTCATACTTCCTTCAACTTCAATGTGCGCACACACACACCCATAGGAAGTACGGGAGAAAGGATCAATAATCGATCTTACCATTTTCAGTTATATAAAGTGGAAAATTTGGGTATCTCTTTGTGACGTAAGTTATAATATTCTCCATTCCCCATGGAGTATTAGCCATATCAGGCAACCCTGTCTACAAAAACCAATAATACTTTAGCGTAGTTAGAAAATATTAAGGAGAGTCGATATAAAGCATTTTTCTGATCTATTACATAATTTGTTAATACATACTCGTATAATACGTGTATTTCATAAATTTGAGTGGTTAAATGTAAGTAGACGTGCATAGTAAATGTTGTCAAGTAATAAAGTCTAAATGATATCATAATTAATTATTGGTACTAGTGCATTTTTGTACCTCAAATATTGAATAAAGCAAATTGCAACGTTTAACAGTGCCATTGTTTTTAGGCGTTGTGCTAGGTGTACACAAAATGTGTACATTCTTTTGTACACTCGTCTGTCCCCCGCAGACAAGTTGTCTGTCCACGGACAATTCTACAAGAGTTGTCTGTGGACACACAACTGATCTGCGGGGGACAGACGAGTGTATAAAACAAGTGTACACATTTTGTGTACACAACGCATTTTTCTTTTTTGCAGTGTTGGATAAAAATAAATTTCTTGATAGCCTTAGCTCCACGAAAATTTGAGAAAAAGAAACTGTGTTATTAGTTATTTTTACAAGGTCATGATTTCAGTATGACGATATGAGTCCACGAATACTTGATGCTGATATGTTCGAATGACTAAATTAGATTAGCAACAATACTCCGTATTATTTTCTACACTGGTTAGACAAATCAAAATCATAATTTTCTAACCGTGACATATGAACGAATGAATTTCATGTAATCTTTATGGGAAAGGTCGTAGAGTCACATTACAAGAGAATAAATTGAAACATTTGAATATAGTTAAGACTTAGGGTAATGTTTTTAAGTTTGATTTAGTCTGAACTGATCTTATCTTGTAAATGTCTAGTAATTGTGTACTTTATAACCGTCGAAGTCAGATCTGGTATGTCTGTTTCAGTCTGGTTTGATCTGTTTAAGTGTGGTCTGATTTGTTCAGGTCTAAACTAAAACTGTCCAATTAAAACAAACTTATTTAGTTGTGGTGCATCTATGCTGCTCCATCTATTTTTTTTTGTTATCTCTCAAATTTGAATTATTGGTGCCAGGGAGAATGGATTACCAATTCCCCAATGGGGACACCATTCTTTGACATAGTCACCCCCGCAAAGCCTTCTGCTTTGTTGTTGCCTTTCATAGGCGGATCACACGTAGAAAACAAGCAATCTTGGGCGTAGATGGTAGTGTAATGGTTGATGCCTATAAAATCCAACCCATTTCCCAACTTTTGCATATCAGATTTTGAAAACTCAGGTAATAGTGGCCCCAAAAGGTCCTTCATTTCTTTAGGATATGTTCCATAGATGATTGGATCCATGTACCTGCATGTTAATACATTGTTCCAAACAAATCGAATTATTCATGAGAAATAAATGATCATCTGCCATCATCATATAGTACAATTTAGTTTGATTGAATGCCTTGATACGAACTATACCAGTTTGAGAAGAAGGACTGAGCTCTCTCAGCTGCTGCCTTGTCCAGTGTGGAGTTGCTCATCGGTTCATACCAGTAAAAGTCCATTGCAATTCCTATCTGCCCTTCTTGCTTTTCCTGTTGGATTAGTTAATAATAAAGATAGGCTGGCTTTTAACTCTATATATAAGATCAGAAATATTTTCTAAATACTACTACGTAACTAGATGTTTTCTTTTGGTAAACGTCTGGTCTCTGTGTATTTTATAACTACGAAAATCTGATTTGATCTGATCTGGTCTGGTCTGGAATTGAAAACAGTCCAAAAGAAAACATCCTAATTAGATTAATGGTCTACTAAGCAACCCAGAAATGGGAAAATGAGACGTGATAAGCTAAAAGATAATTTAATACTCTGTATATCCAAATTCTATATACGAATATATAGGACGCGGTTTACTTCTAGTGTTTGACGATTTACTTATGGTTCCCCAAAATTTCACTTATTCTGTGGTTTTTTTTACTTGATTATGAAAATGTCGCCACATCCCTCTTCACTTTCCCAAGTATTTTGGCACTTAAGATTTGATATCATAGACATTACATTCATTCACATTTCTCAAATGAAGATTTCTTAAATGATCCAAATTACACACACATGAGTGTGTCTGTGTGTGTACATTTAAGAAATTACCCTAAGTAGGAGTATAAATAATTTGAAATTTTCATATAGGAGTGTTATGTTGTTTTGGTTAAATATGAATAATGACTGTCATACTTGAAATGTTCTCAATTATGGCATTAATAGAACCATATATATAGGCATGGAGGCAGGTCGGGTTGGTACAAGATAAGCCTTTGTCCTATTTAAATCGGGACCAGGATTATTCGAAATGGTTTGGGACTTCCCAAACTAACAAAAGAGTACTAAACATTAAAAAAAAGAGTACTGAACATAAAAAAAAAAGAAAACATTTTAACATTAAAAGGAAGTAGAAAATGAAATAATTTATTCAAAATAATGGGATCTAGGTGTGAGAAAATCATCCTATACCTAAAAGCACTACATTGGAGAGAGAGAAATTTCTCCCGCCTAAGCTCTGGCCGCTCACCACTTCTCCTATCCAGCATTCCAGCCCACCTCCTAACTTATGCCTTCTCCTCTCTTGTTCTTCACCCGAATTTGCATACGATTTCCGTGGATCGCTTTACCGCACCCTTACCCATACTATTTCGAAACCCTCCCCACCTTCTCTTCGACGTTTTAAGCATTTCATTGAAGAGCTCCAGTAGTTCTTCTGATTTTCTGAGCCGCATGGAAGATGAAGTCACCCATCCACTTGAATTCATCGAGTATCACCTTCAAGTAGCTATTTTTGTATGATTCTATTGACTTAAGTAACCCTATTCTTCCATTCCAGTACAGAAAATCAATTTTGCTGTAAAAGAGCTATATAGCCGCTCGATTTGACGCTTCTTCTTCCAGCAATTGAAGAACATATTTGTGTTGGGTCAAATGTCAGTCTCTTCTTCTTCCAGCAATCGAAGAACAAAGGTTTTCCATTCAAATTGATATTATTATATACTATCGTATTATACTCCATATTAGGAATTATGATTTTTTCTATGATCTAACTTTCTTCTTCGGGCGAACGGGGGGCATATTTGCTGTCAAACATAACTATGGCCCTAACCATCTTTTGTTGTGGAGAGGTGATGGACGAGAACTTGCAATATAATGCTATGGCTTGATAACCCACAATCCTAATATAATTTCTATTTCTACAGACAGTTTTGATGATAATCTTGCATTCTTAATTTAAGATTTCTTAAGAAGCCCCAACCTAATTTTTTTCATAATCGTAGGTTTTTTCACAATCCTAATTAGGTATAGGATTTTTCCTATAGTTTTCAATACTTTTCTAACTTTGTTCTTAAATTTTATACTTAGATTTCAATTTAATCTTATTATATTAATGGAATGCAGAACATTAGGTTGTTAAATATGACCAATTGTGCAACAAGTAGTTCATGTTCCCCATCCCGTGACTTTGAGTGTTTGATTGCACTTGACCTAGGTGTGTTTTGTTCATGTTACTATGTTAGGATTCCATGGCTACCTTGCTGGGAGTATTTCCTTGTGCTTCACACATGTGTGCAATATTGTTGATAAAAGTGTCCTTCTCTACCACGAAATACTTTTATTTTTATTTTTAGTTCTTATGAAAGTGTTATTCTTTCCATTGTATCGTGCAGGTAGTTCTACTGACTGTTCAAGTACTAGGATTAAACTCTGAATTTGTAATTATCAGAGTTTCAGACCATATCTCTTGACAGCTTAATTTCATTAGTGTGGCTAAATCTTTAAAGCAAGTTTAGTTTGGTAAGCAAATTTAGTTCAGCAAGTATCGTTTTCACCAAATCAATACTAAGGGTCACTCTAAGCAGCCTGCAAGTGAACTAAAAGGGATGACTGTATCACTGATGTTATAACCAAAAGAATATAATAATAGCAAATAAACATGAAGTGAACTAAAAAACTAGGCAAAGAGGAAAATTCAGATTCTATATGGTCATCTATTTTTAGTGTTTGCAGGGTTGTTTGGTTCGGTTATAATTGTTCAGTATCTTAAATTTCCGTATGGAACCTTTTCAGGAAGTCTCTTTTCTCCTGACAAGTTTGGATGGTGGCATTCAATGATAAGGAATCAAATCCACCAAATTGGTGATCTTAGTTTCACTTCAGAGATGGAAACCAAATATTTCAAGAATGAGTTCACATTAGGAAATGGATCTGACATTTTAAAATCCAAAATCAAACCAAATGAGATGAAGAACCTGTTCATCTCGGGATCCTATCATGCAAGGAGATAGTGCCATTGCACATAAAGTTGATGGACCTACTGTAATTGGAATGAATAAAAGAAAGATTGAAGATACATTTACAGATTATACTACAATTCAAGGGTATGAATATGTTCTTTTATTCACTTATTCCTATACTTTTAATTCCTATACTTTTCAATATTCACATATAATAAATGCCCTTTCCAGTTTGAATGTCTTATTCGATATGCCAATGTATATAATTTTAGCCAATTGAGCAAATTCTGGTTCTTAAATTTTTACTTACTTTTCAATTGCGCATGAATTTGATTTCACAATGACATGTTTTATGTCAAAATTTTCCCTTGGTGCACCAATTTTGCAATGAAATTTCAAATTAAGTCAGTGTTGATTCATGACTACATATATCGTCAAGAATGGTTTGAAAGTGATTTCGCTTACGAAATGTTGATTCATGACTACATATATGGTCATGACTACATTCTTTATTTTGTGATTTTCACATTTGTTTAATGCTTTAATGTGAGACAATTTAAATGTTCTTATAATGTGTTTTAGAATGTTTTCTGAATGAAAAATGATGGCCGAGCTGCAGTTAATTAATCAATGATTTCTATAATTACAACATAGAATATTTTAATGTTTTCTCATTATTATAATGTAGGTGAACTAATATAATTATTAATAAATAATAATAGAAATATTACAATTTAGATTTCTTTTATAACTAAAATTTAGATTTATATTATCATATTAATAATTAATATGAAAATTAGATACCCAAAGTTACTAAGATTGCTCCCTAATAATCAGTGTTCTTAGACAAGGTGAGCGAACTAAAAGCAATCGCCTCTGGAGGGGGTGGGGTGGAACCTGCAGGAGATGAAGAAGAATATGCAGTGTTCTTAGACAAGGTGAAGCAGACAGTTTTCTGATGCTGCTATGAGCCGCCTTCAACCGCGTTTCTATCCTCATTTAAAACTAATTGATTTTGCATTTAATTTTGTCAGGTTTGTAGTACTTTATTTGTTTTTTATATTCAAAGTAATAGAGGAACTATTAAGGTTTTAAAATTTTCTACTATCTTGTGTTTTGATCAAACATTGAATCTTGCTTTGGGTTGTCTTTCTTTTCTGAAAATCAAACTCAACATAAGAAGTAATTTCCCTACCATTTTTTTACCTTTTCAAACATCTCAGATTTCAGGGGCCAAAGTTAGTTAGGCAGTATATCCCTATGGTTTCGACTACAAATCTAAGAAATTCATTCTGATGAGAAAATACTAATTGCTTTTCCAAATATTTTGTAGCTAAACAAATTCCAATTGGGGTTTGGTTTAACCCTGGAAGGAGCTGCAACAGATAGAAAACATCGATGGTTGGGTGAGTTAAGTTAAGGTATTCTATATTTACTTGAATTATTAACATAAGTTTACATGTTTATATATTTTATACCTGAATATAAACATGTAATTTTTCATAGCTGCTCATTCTGTATATTATATTGGATAGGATGAACACTGAAGCTAGCACAAAAAATTGAAATTCAGTTCCTTTTTTAGTGAAATCTGCTTATGTAGTAATTATGTTATCCCAGATTATTGAAAATATAAACAATAATATAATACTACGTATAAGATTGATGACCTTTTAGATGATAAAAAATCAAAAAATGACATGTTGTCTGTGTTTGTGTGTGTTGAAGTTTTTAATTTTGTACGATAAAGTTAATTCAATGGCGCCAAGTGATTGGGACTCCATAATGCAGTTGATTCAATGGTGTAATGTTCTGATGCATAGGCCAATGGATTCACGTAAATAATTTTGAAATACCTGTCCAAAGAAATACCATTTGTTTATATTTTGGTACTTGGAAACTATTAGCTAAATAAATAATGAATGCTGAGAGACTGAGAATAAATAGTTTGTGAGGACTTTTGCTTGGAGAGTAAGAGTATTTTATTAATCCTTTTTTGTGCTTATCTTAGACTAATTTTATGAGATTCAATGTATGTTACTCCGTATTTGGTTAAGTCTTTCCTGATTTCCTTTCCAGAGCAAGATCTATACACTTAAGATGGAGCATGAGTTGGAAGTAGAACAACCAGTGAAGTCTGGTGTTTTGAGGGCCTTTAATTTTGACAAGAAATCAACCTTGGATGCTGTAAGTATTTAATTTTAGTTTAAACATATGTTTTATTCTATTTTAGTTATTACTATAAAACTTTAATGTAAGCTTTTTATTTTTATTTTTTACTTTAGAAAAATTAAAAAAAGTGCAGGACATTAAATCTCTAAAAGTGTGGTGCATGTTCTGAATCTTCTGATAAAGGGTTTGTTATGCCTTGATCTAGATGGAATAGGCATTTGCCTGAGCCCTGAAGAATCCATCAAAAGTGTTACAAACGTGTAAAAAAGTTATGCAAACAAGCAAATACAGAGTAAATCTACAAAATCTATGTAGGGTTACATGATTTAATAAATTTATTGAACCGGGACAAATTTAAATAGCTGTAATTTTGGCCAAACATGACTTTTTGGGCAGAGAGATTAATTGTTTATGGAGTTTAACTATCCATTTAACTGAGTAAAAAACATTGTTTTAGATTCTAATGATTCTGTTAACACAACAGACCTGATATGGCATCTTGAATTAGTTGTATCTTTGTGTTCACTATCTCTCTGTTTAATTGTTAGAAACTTAGAATGGATTGTTGCTTCTTCATATATGCATAAGGGCATGTCCTACACAAGATGTTACCCTGCTAACTTGAAACTGTGTCTTCAAATGAATAACCCTCTCATGATATTATGGTAGGTTTGCAGGGGGGCATATGGTTATGCTTGTGGCGCCAAGAGATTGAACCGTTGAGACTGCCAATCCTTTTTTCCATCCTGGTGGTGGTTTGGTCTATCATTAATCAATGTTCTATGATCTCTATCTATTATTTATTTCTTTTTGTGTAAAACGGCTTATGTTTTGGTGTCATTCCCTGATTGTAAGGATTTAAGATAGCTCTTGAATTTCTGTCATGAGAGAAACTTTATACATACAAAATGCCGTTTTAGCATGTTTTTTATGTTTATCAATCTCTTGGGCAGGTCAAGCTAACGTAAAATTAGATATTAAAAAAAAAGTGTGGGTGGAGCCCATCAATAGAGATTGAGAATGCCAGTTACACAGTATGTAACTGAAGGATTTGATATGTAACTCTATGTTTGTATAGTTGGAAGGGTTGAGAAGGACAAATTAAGGGAGTGTTTGCAATTACTTCAACTTTAAAAAAGTGATTTTTTAAAGTGATTTTGGGAAAAGTGATTAATAGTAAAAGTTGGTAGTGTTTGAGAAAAAAGTGATTCTGAAAAAGTAAAAGTTGGTAGTGTTTGGTAAAATAAGTACTTTTTGTGTAATAGAAAAAGTGAGAAGCAGTTTAAAGCACCCTTCTACCTGCTTCCAGCTTTTAGATTTTAAGTGATTAATTTAAGCAGAAACTGTCATTTGAAAACACTCTTTTCAACTTTTTTAAGCCAAAAGCTAAAAAGCGCTTTTTTAAAGCAATCCCAAACACTCCTTAAATCAACACCACTTGACTACTTATAACTACTATAAGTATCTATTAAGGGTAGGAAAGTAAGTCTTAACTCTTAAGTCTTAACTTAATTTATCATTCTTTACTAAGCATCCTTTCCCAATTTATCATGAACATATGTAAACTGTAAAGTACACAAATTCCAATATGTAAAGCGTTGAGACTATTCCTGAACGTGATAATATGCTGCTATAAAAATAGATGGATAGATGGATACTCCAGTAGACCAGTAGTATAAGGTATATTTTCTTTTCCTATGAGTTACATAGTAGGTAACAAGTAACAACTTCTACATTCATCAGTTTAGGTTTATTAGGTTTTTCTATCACTTGAGTTTTATGATTTACTTTTTTAATTATTTACTTATCTTTCATTTTGCTCTATTTGTTTAGTTTGGGCTTGGCATCATACATTTCAATTTCACACTTCTCTGTTCTCTCACATTGTCACCCAGAATGATTTCTTCACATTTTCACAAGTCCAATGAATTTACTCACCAATTTTACACATTTTTTTTAGCTGTATTAGAAAATTAGTTTATAATACTCCATTACTCCGTATAGGTTTTTATATCCTCTATAGCGATGGTAAATTGACTAAATTCTTCCCTCTTCATTTCAGCTTTATAATTTCTGATTCTGCTTTCTGTTTATATTTTGACTCCTCCAAATATGATTTGAAATCTCATATACCAGGTCAAAACAACATTGGAGATAGACTTATACTTTTCAAGCGAGTTTAGTGGGTTACTTTTTTATTATATAGTGTTCCTTTTGTCTAACATACAACAACGCATAGTCATAATGAACTAGAGTTAAGGGTAAGAAAATGAAAATGGAGCATGCATGGAAGAGAGAGAATGGATGACATATAATACCCCCATATAGATAAGAGTTTTTCAATTCATAATAATGAACCAAAGTTCAATGTAATCACACACATTGTGTATACTTGTGATATCTTATTTTTCGCACAGACAATTGCATGTAAAGTTTTGAGGGTGACAAGTCAATTAGGCTTAAATTTCATGACGAAAGAAATAAGAAGATATAACAAAAAAACATTGCCTACGCGGAGGTTTGCAATAACTAATTTGTAGTATATGTGCATATTAAAGTTTAATACATCGTTCTGTATTATTCAGTATTTGCAATTTTGCATACGATTTCATTCATTCATGTAGTAAATTAAAACATAATTTATTAGTGTGTAGATATTACGCTCTCTGTTCTATAAAACTTTGCCAAAATTGACTTGCATGTAAAATAATAAAGTAAAAATTGTGTGGATGAGATTTATGTAGAAAAGAGAGAAATAACTTTAGTCGTATATTTGTTACTTTAAATGAAAAAGTCAAAAAGAATTGGGACGAAAAAAAGGAAATGTCGCCAGCTTTTATGGGACGAAGGTAGTATCATAATATTTTGTCTCTTATAACTTTGTCATCTTTTCATTTTTTGTTGTCCCAGAAGTTTTATTATTTTTCCTATTAGTTGATTAATTCATGTTTTCTATTATTTTCTCTATTCTCACAAATTCAATCACGCTATTTTTACTTTATTATTCTCCGTAATGGTCAAACTTAGCAATTTTTTGAGCGACACCAGTAGTGGGAAATCATGAATTATCTGGTTTGTGCAGAAGAGAGAGAATTATCTGGAACCACGAATTCTTTACTTAAAAGGGAAAATGACAAAGTTAGTGGGACATCCAAAAAAGGAAAGTTGGTAATGTTTTAAGGGACGGAGGGAGTATTTTCATATTGCATCCCGTGCAATGCACGGGTGTAAGATCAGATAGGATTAGATAAGAACATAAAATTTCAGTCCAAGTAAAAACATTCTCACTTGGTGAACATAAACCACTATTAATCTTTTATTTTCGTTTTTTATATTCAAGCTATTTATCCTGATTTCTTAACCCAACATGATCCGATTAATTATCTTTATTCCAGACCTATTCTTGCTTCAACCATAGACGAGGTTGATAAGGTCAACAATTACATGTTCAGCCAGATAGATTCAGAGTTAAAGACATACCTAAGCTCAGATTCTGCTTCTTCATCTGACTCAGATAGTAATGATATCTTGCATGAGATACATTCTCCTAAATTTCTTAATAGCATCAAGTGTTCTGGCTTGCCAAGTCATGAGCTGAAGCTTAAAATTGGAGTTCCTGTGATGCTTATGAGGAATATAGATCACTTATCTAGATTGTGCAATGGCACACGGCTTCTGGACACTAAACTTGGAACTCATATTATTGAGGCTCATATGATGCACGGAGAAAATGCCGGCGAAAAGTTTTTTATTCCCTGCCTTACTTTGACACCATCGGGCATTAGTCTCCCATTCACTTTTCAGCGTAGACAATTTCTGTTAATGGTTAGCTATGCAATGATCATTAATAAGAGCCAGAGACAGTCATTGGAAAAGGTTGCCATCTTCCTCAGTCGGTCTGTTTTTACGCATGGACAGTTGTACGTGGCGGTCTCGAGAGTAACAAGTCCGTCTGGGTTAAAGTTTGTTATATGTGACAAGAAGGGAAACCAACAAAGTGAATGTTTAATGTAGTATACAAAGAAGTTTATACCAATTTTGTAGTTCCCTTGCTTTACATGCATACATCCATACTCATTGAATTGCTATGTATATCGCATCATGATTTGTACTTGACTTTGAGAATTATATTTTAATTTTGTATTAAATATGAATACTTATTTTATTTTATGCTTTATTTTGATTATTTTGGTGGGTTAAAAGGCTATATAGCTTAAATAAATATGATAAGAGAAATTAATAACCTATATTATGCTTTTTAAGTGCATAGCACTTTTGTGGGTAAAGTGAAGCAACATGATTATAGTTCACTTATATGCAACCGTCTGTTATCTACTTAATTAAGTTAGTTAGGCTATTTATTTAATTTATACAAATATATGACATAAACTTAACTGCACATATTTAAAGTTGTATATACACCTAAATATTCCTATTTTGTTTTAGTTTGTAATTTAATATTTTGAGTTAGGTTATTTGACTATGAAATTGTTTGAGTTAATGTATGATTGATCCAAACATCTTCACTCCCGTGCGCAGCACGGGTGGAATTACTAGTATGCAAATATATAGAGTGAGATAACAACTCAGTTTAGTAAATATTTGTGTTAGGTATAATTATTTGAATTGATAAATGTGACTAGTTTGTAGTGCCCTATGTTTATCATATACGTAGAAAATGGGAGTACAGGACGGTTGGAGGTACCCTTCAATTCCGATGTCCAAGTCATGTCCCGTTTTAAACCATTATGACATTAGTGCGAGACAAAAAATCGTGTCCCAAATGGAATGTGCCAACATTAGTATGGTTTCGGTACATTTCAAAATGGGACAACTGGATCAGAATTCTTGTCTACCCCTAATACCATATTAATGTTGTAATGTCAAGATGTGATAACATTATTATAGAATGTAAGTAATGGAACCCTATTTAAGGAAAAAATATAATTGTTGTGTTATAAAGTTTCACATTATTTTTACTCCTATTCCGGAAAATTTCCTTATGGATATGCGATCACACACATTACACCTGCTAAACTTTTCATAGAGAAATTGATAAGAGTTTGTGTTCCGAAAGGTAGACACGTTAATTGTGTTTGGACGGGTGGTGATGATGTTAATAATGGAAGTTTACAAACATTAATATTAACACTTGTTTGTGATAATACAAAGTTACTTGCGTTGTTAATTAGGTGGTGAGAGGTGTTTTGCATAACTCACTGATATGCACTAATTAGTAGTGCACAAGTGTATGTTTTTTACGTATGATTTGTGTGGTTTGTTTACCGTTTTATTTAGTTTGTAAACATTTGTGTGATTTTAGTTGTAATTGTATTTTAATCTTCATTTGTAAGTTGTAAAGTAGAGTTAGGAATTAGGGTGTTGAAAAGGAGGACTTTGAAGTGAAGAAAAATAAGATTTGGCTGCCCAGAAGCACAAACCCGACCGGGTACAATACTTCACCCGGTCGGGTATGACAAAGAATCAGAAACTGCTGAGAAAGTCACTAGACCCGGGCGGGTCACTTATTTGACCCGGTCGGGTCAGATGTGACCCGGAACACCAGAACATGCCGAAGATCGCCAGAACGTGGGAAATATGTGATTTTGACGTTGACCCGGTCGGGTATGTCCTTTTACCCGGGCGGGTCAATGCCCCAGGGTGTTGAAAACACCTATAAATAACCCCATTTTCCTTCACAAATAATCACTCCTTCTTCCATACTCTTAAGCTCAACTTAGAATAGTATTTCTTTTATATTTTTTTAGCATGTTTAGTCTCCAAATGAGGAGCTAAACTTCCATTTCTTGGTGTTGCTCTTGAAGCTTGTTGATTATTAAAGTTGTGAGTTATTTTCTTAACTTCTTCCCTTGAATATTAATTATTCTCTTAATCTATCTATATATTAATGTTGGGGAGTGTTGCTAAGATGACAATTAGTTAACATCTCGACATTAGTTATAGTAGTATTTATTTTCTTCCTCTATATATTAATGTTGGGGAGTGTTGCTAAGATGACAATTAGATAACATCTTGACATTAGTTATAGTAGGATTATTCATATTTAATCTTCTTCCTTGAATATTAATTCTTCCCTTAATCTATCTCTATATTAATGTTGGGGAGTGTTGCTAAGATGACAATTAGTTAACATCTCGACATTAATTACTACTAGAAACGATCAACGAACCGATGGTTAATCGTTGATGGTTTCACAAGTAAGTAACTTCGGTTTATTAATGCACGGTTGTGGTTAATAAACTTAAGAGGGATTAATTTTGTTGGTTAAACCGAAACCGTTGTGTTGAGGTTATCAATCTCAATTGATTTCATCAAGGAGTTAAGAGATTAAATGCTACTATTAAGTCGGTATATGGCGGTGTTCTATACATGACTAATAGTAAGGGTTATTAATGAACGGTCGTTGTTAATAACTACCCTCGATGAATTGGATATACTCCTCGATTGAGTATTCGAGAGGGGATTAGTTATAGATATAACAGTGATCGACTAAAATATATCAACAAGTGGAAAGTAGCAATGCCAAGTCCTTTTTATCTTTGAATTAAATCACATATAACTCGTTCATCTTCGTGTTTAAATTTAAATTAAATCTCTCAATCAAAACCCCCCTTTATTTACTAGTTACATAAAAAGAGAATTATTCCTTTCCCTGTGGATACGAACTCTACTTCACCTATACTACGTGTAAGTGTTAGTATTGAATTTATTTTGAGTGCACTCACGACAAAGTGCACGTCAAATTTGGCGCCGTTGCCGGGGAAAGGCAATTTATTTTTCTTTTTATTTTATTTTAAGAAAAAGGAAAAAAAATATTACCTAAATATAGAGATTTCTATTCTTCTGAGCTTTGTTTGAGTATATGGTTAAACACCGATCTATAAACCAAATCACCTACCAAACAAACCCCGAAACAGAACAAGCCTTCGAGAGGTTTAGGAATTTATTTCCGAATACTTCTTCGGAGGAGTCATCAAGTGCTAGTTCTTATTCTAGCGAGAACGAAGAGCCAATCACTATGGCTCAAGAAACAAGAACATTGAGGGAGCTCACGGCTCCTAACTTAAATCAACAACCTCTATGTATCACCTTCCCCACTCTTGATGAAGGTGCTACATTTGAGCTCAAATCAGGCCTCATTCATCTACTCCCTTCATTTCATGGCCTAAGGGGCGAGGATGCAAACAAACATCTTGCGGAGTTTCATATAGTTTGCACTAGTATGAAACCAAATAATGTTACGGAAGAACAAATCAAGCTGAGGGCCTTTCCATTCTCACTGAAGGACACGGCTAAGGATTGGCTATTCTATCTTCCCTCGGGAAGCATAGACACATGGGCGGCAATGAAGAAATGCTTCCTAGAAAGGTACTACCCCGCCTCCATCTCATCATCTTTGAAAAAACAAATAAGCAACATTGATCAAAAAGATGATGAGACCTTATATGAATATTGGGAACGGTTCAAAAAGTTATGTGCTAGCTGCCCTTATCATGGCTACACCGAGCAAGACCTCATACTCTACTTTTATGATGGTCTTGTTGATGATGATAGAAGAATGGTGAATGCCGCTTGTGGGGGCGGCATTGTCAACAAAACTCCCTCACAAGCAACAAGCTTAATCTCAGAGTTGGCCGAGAACTCTAGGCATTACAACGGGCGGTCCTCAACCCGTAAAGTTGCCGCGGCGGAATCATCTTCATCTTTAGAAAGTCAAATGGCCGGCTTGACTTCCTTGGTTAAGGATTTCCTTTTAAATCCTAGAAACCAAGAGGTCAAGGTCTGCGGCATATGCACACAGCAAGGGCATCCAACAGATTCTTGCCCAACTCTCCAAGAAGAGCAAGTCAACGCCTTGGGTTTCCAAACCCAACAACAAAAGAGGTACGATCCACACTCTAATACTTACAACCCCGGGTGGAGAGATCACCCTAATTTAAGATATGGGAACCCTCAACCACAACAAAATCAGTCCTTTCAACAATCCTTCCCAAATCATCAAGGTCAAAGCTCCAACTCTAACATGTCCACGGAGGACATGATTCGAGCTCTTGCTACGAACATGGGCACTTTGCAACAAAATGTTTTGCAATTTCAACAAGAAACAAAGTCAAGCATTCAAAATTTGGAAACTCAAGTTAGCCAAATTTCGATTGCTGTGAGTAGGCTAGAGGCCAAAGAATCGGGAAAACTCCCTTCTCAAACGGAGCAAAACCCGAGACAACATGTCAATGCGATCATGACGAGGAGCGGTAAGGAGTTGCAAACAAAGGAGGCTGAAGAAAAAGTTAACAATGACGCGTTTGACCACAACGAGGGGGAACCAACGAAGACAAAATTTCCTCCACTTTCATCATATGAGCCACTCCCTCCATTCCCTGAGGCGCTGAAGGACACAAGGAAGTTGGAGAATGATCGGGACATCTACGAGACCTTCGCCAATTGTGAGGTAAATATCCCACTCTTTAAACTAATCAAAAGTGTTCCCCGTTATGCAAAGTTTTTAAAAGAACTATGCACGATAAAAAGAAAGAATAAATTGAAAGGGAAACAAGAGGTCAAGGTTAGTGAACATGTCTCGGCAATTTTCCAGAGGAAACTCCCGGAAAAATGCAACGATCCAGGCATGTTCACTATCCCATGCAAAATAGGGGACACTTTATTTCCTAGGGCCTTGTTAGATTTAGGGGCTTCAATCAATGTTATTCCATATTCATTATACAAGTCCCTAAAACTTGGCCCTATGCATGAAACCGGGGTGATAATCCAATTGGCGGATAGGTCTAGCATATACCCAAAGGGTGTCGTAGAGGACGTGCTAATAAAAGTTGAAAATTTGGTCTTCCCTGTCGACTTCTATATTCTTGAAATGGAAGCCGATAACCAAGCTACACCCATCCTTTTGGGAAGACCTTTCTTAAAAACGGCCCA